GGAATTATATACAATAAAAATGTGGAATCCAGATAATAGTATTCAACTGTTCCTAAATGAAAGCAGCGAACATGGACAAAGCATTCAAGGCATTTGTTCCAAATTTGTCAAGAAAGCCTGCTTACATAGACAAAATAGTAACACAGTTATATGAATTTAAGAAACAAGGCATGTAATTCAGTAATTATTAATTTATCAAACTACATTATGTCAAATCAATTGCTCAGATTTCAGTTTTAGTGTTGCAGTAGTACCTTGATGAATAAACTTTTCAAAAGGTACCCAGCCCCACATGTCACTTTGCCTAATGAATTCTAATGCAAAATTGACATGAAGTATGCTGTGGACTGGTTCAATAACAGACCTCACAACATAACCACAAAGTTACTCAATAGATACATTTGCCATGGAGTGCTGCAGGAATCACTCTGGTCCTGCAAAGAATTTTATCAATTACTTGGATGAAAACAGAAACCTTTGAAAATATAAAGGATTTGAGATAGGGTGTAGAAGAGGAGAGTTGGAAAGAAAAGTAATTAAGCTGCTAACACAATGAAACAGTTGTTTCTCACACTCAGGACAGATAAAACATTGAAAATACTTAAAAAAAAGGTGCACATTTAGAAGAAGAAATATGTCACAAAGAACAATCTTGGGAAGAAAAACTTCAAATCATGACTGAAACGGTACAGCTTTATGAAACAGCAGAAAGACTTCCCTGGAAAGCCTCGTGCTGCCATCTAGAGACTGGTCAGCAGCGGTTTTAATCCTGGTTTGGACAGCCAGTTTCAATTAACAGTCAGTCAAAAGGGGACTATTAAATTTCAATACATAAAGTTATAATCAAATCCAATACCTCTAGACAAAAACCACAAGTCCCTTAACTTTAATAAACAGATCTTTTGGATTTTTCTTCTTGTTCTCTCACTTTTCTAAGTCTGTATGATAAAAGAACTTAAAGGCAGTATTAGGAAACACAGTCATAGAATCATAGAACGGTTTGGGTTGGATGGGACCTCAAAGACCATCTAGTTCCAACCCCCCTGCCATGGGCAGGGACACCCTCCACTAGACCACGTTGCCCAAAGCCCCATCCAATCGGGTCTTAAACACTTCCAGGGAGGGGGCATCCACAGCTTCTCTGGGCAACCTGTTCCAGTGCCTCACCACCCTCACAGTGAAGATCTCCTTCCTAACATCTAATCTAAATCTACCCTCCTTCAGCTTAAACCCATTACCCCTTGTCCTGTCACCACACTCCCTGATAAACAGTCCCTCACCATCTTTCCTGTAGGCCCCTTCAGGTACTGGTAATTTGCAATTAGATCTCCCCGGAACCACCTTTTCTCCAGGCTGAACAATCCCAACTCTCTCAGCCTGTCCTCATAGGAGAGGTGCTCCATCCCTTCGATCAGCTTCGTGGAGTCCAGAGAAGCTCTGTTCAAACTCTGCATCTAATTTTCTGTGAAAATTTTCCCAAGATAAATGTATATCATGACACTCAAAGCTTTTGATGTATTATAGCCTAAAGGAAAATAGACTTCAGTGACAAGAAGTTACAAACACTGAGAGCTTTTGTAAAGCTTGAAAATCCAAGATTTCAGTTACCATAGACTGAAGGTTCTAACTGTTGGACCTCAGGTACTTTATTGTTTGCTCACTTTGTCTTCTTCACATTTATTTGTTCTCAGCAAAAATAAATAGAAATGCATGCAACAAATATTGCTAAGGAAACAACAACCTTGTTAGCTTAAATGTAACTCAGGCTCTGCTTAAACTCCATTTAGCAAGACAAAGCTGTCTGACATTTAAGCCTACAGCTTAACTGAGGCAGCCAATCATCAGCCAATCTTTGTCTTTGACTCAGTTTTACATTGTTATACTTGAACTTCTACTCCACTAAATGCTTTACACAGCCTTAACAGATGTTAGCACTGGAAGTAAAATAAACTTGCAGAGAGTGTTTTAAAATAGGCTTAATGATCTGTTAATAAGAGAGCATAGGATATCCCAGGTTTACAGTCAGGTTATTTTTTATCTACTGAAAGGAATGTGAAAGACTTGTAAGTTTTAAAACTTTCGGTGCTTTGTGTAGGCCAAGAGTAACTGCAACTAAGGTCTACACTAGAGCAAAACTAAGCAGAAAAAATTAAATGTGTCAGTATGTACAGGTAGCATTTAAAAGAAACACAATACTCTTGAAACCTTCAAAGCTGGATCAGCCCATTAACAACAGAGTCCTAAATGCTGATGAAATCAGCTCCTTCTTCAAAGAACTGATAAAATTTGGCTGTTTGTAAGTGGAATGAAGGTCGACTTTAGTACTCAATGGCATCACCTCCTGCTACAATGGAGTGTAGAAAAAAATAAAAGCTACAGCAGCAGAAAATTGTATGTACACTAAGTGATAGGAGACTCCTACACACAAGTGAAAGTTTCACTGTGGAGGCAGTATATGAAGTTTGACAGAAGTACTGCCACAAGTATTCTGAGAAATAGCTTTAGTAATCCGAGTGGGAAATTAAGCCAAGTGACCTGATTTATCTAAGTCAACATTAAGTCAGGAACAGAAGTCTACGTGCCACTAGACAACACCAGATTGACATATAACCTCTTGTTATTTCTGCTACGATGTTTCCCCCACGCAGGTAGACTGAGTTGGAGATGTAAGCTCGTTTTCTCATCCTGTTTTGGAAGGTCACTGTGACTGTCACACACTTGCCAAACCACTTTTCCAGCTACAAATGTGCCATGAGCACACACTCTAGCAGGAAGATTTGGAATGCCGTCAGTAACATCTGTGTACAGCACTTACATTCATCCAGTCCCAGCTGATAAGCTAGGTTCTGCAGGCCACGAACTTTTTCCATCAGGTTAGCTGTAGTGAGGCTCCCCAACTCTAAGAACAGAGAAAAGTGTGAATTTTGACACTGCCTATAGCCCTCTGGTGACAGTTTACCTGTTTACTACTTCACAGAGCACTTCCAAGTCATACTTCTGACAAGATCTATTTCCAGTGAACAGAGTACGTTTGAAATTCAAGCTGATGCCACCCCTGATTTTAACACACTGAGAAAAGACCAGCTTTCTCTACTGAAAAAGATAGTCATGGATCTGGTTCATACTGTAATCTGCCACCATTGCAACGAGCAACTTGCCCCATATTTTGGAAATTCCTTTAAGTTCACACTGCTACATGAACAAGCTACAGAAGAGCATGCAAGGGAATGGACTTACCATACATTAATAGTGCGTGTTTAAGCACATTTCTTGCAGCAAGTCAAAGTTAATTTGTCCTACTTTGACTTTGGAACAGTTTATCTAGAACTCACATGAGAGGCAGAGTACACTCAAGGATGAGTGTACTCTGCAAACTAACAGCTGTAACATGCAGCAAATCTACATGCTAGTTAGCCCTTGTGTAACTTGCTCATACAGCCCTACTGGTCAATTAGAGATCTTAGATCTAAGAGTGAAGACACATGCGTAGAGCATCTCTGAACAAGCCAATCAACTAGTCTAAGCTGCTCACCAAGTCTGATCAACTGAGGCCCACCAAAAAAATTCATGCCACTTTACTCAAACTGCAGGAGACACCTGCTATACTTATGCTGTGAGAGACTGGTGACTGCTCCAACTCATGCTTGCATGTTTGTTTTGAAAAATCCACCTGCCACTGACATCTGGATACTCTCTCAGAGATAACTGGATTAATGACAAATGTGTATCATTAACAAGATAAGAGACTCTTGAGCTGGAGATTCTGCAAATGTGAGAGCTAGAGACCTGAGGCCACAAGGCTTACTGATGGAAGACTCCTGCCTTCAGAAATGAGACAAATTAACAGTATAATTAAAAAGAAAACCCAAAACCAAACCACACGCATTTGGGCATCCAGGACAAAAAACTCTGAAATAAGTATTGAACAACAGAAAAGAACCACTCCCCATTCCTTCACCTCCAGAATATCTAAAGAACAAGTGTTTTAAGCCTCTTAAGTAAGTGCTGAATTCCCATCTGCTCTGGCAGCCTTACTTCCTACCCACAATGTCCATACTCACCCTTTAACATATCAATATCATCATTTTCTAATTCAGCCATCCACTTGGGAGGAGAGCTTGTAATAGGCTGTTTTGAAAAAAAATAAAAGTTCATACTCAGACAAGTGCATTTTTAGCATCATACAGAAAAGCTTGATCTAGCTTTGAAAGCCAGTTACACTGACAGCAAAAATAGGAGTGTTCCAGGTACACTATAGAGATATTGCTATGTTTAATCTTGTTTTCTAGCTTTTCCTAGACTTTTTAGAGTTAAAGCTAGAAACAGTGTGAAAAGCACAATTTCCTAAAGCTTAAAACCTTTTATTTCTTCCAAAGCATATTCCTCACTTACAGTAAGTTACACAATGTATAAAAAAAAATAAAAACAAAAGGATTGTGCTAACGTATACTGAAATTATAACCGAGATACATTTTATAGAAGAAAGCTGTAAAAAGCCCACAAGAGGAGAGAGCAGATCTGCCACCACACGGGAAGGGGGGGCAGGCGAAAGGCACAGTAGCGATCACTCACGCTTTTGAAGGAGGCGGCGAACTCGGCAACGCCGGGCACTGGGGAGAGAAAACGAGGTGCGGCGGGGGGTGAGCGCCTC